CGAGAAGTGAACGAAGACTTTGAGAGCAATACTCCATTTGAATGTACAGATGATTGCACTCAAGCCATGAGTTGTAATATTTGACCACAAAATCTGAGTCCAGTTTTGCTAAACTTTTTACTTCTTTTAAAATTCTATGTTTTTTGTCTTCATTAAAATCTATAAAAATATTTTACATAAAATATTTGTTAGAATATAAAGTTTATAATTATAATTAGTAAAAACAAAGTAATGATATTTACCACCGAATTGTACTCTTTTGACGGCATATATCTTATCATCCAATCTATGCTTTACTTGAAATACTGTCCCAAAACCGCCCGAACTAATGGTTGAGATCTCTATGAATTGTTGCTTATAATTATTATCACTAAACTTATCATTTATGTTATTATCAATTACATCTAGGTTTATATCATTTTTGTTGCCACTTGTTATGTTAAAATCAATTGTATTGTAAGTAATTTGATTTTCATTGGCATAAACATCAACAAAACTATCATAATTTGTTTCAAACAATTCGTGTTGTTTTGATATTTTGTAAATTTTATCATTCATCAAAACATATATAAAATCTAAATTATAAATAAATGAATTAATTTGTTGTAATTCTTGGAAACAATATTCACATAATATTTGTTTTGGACTTTTTTTTCAATTAATTCATTATTATTTTTATAATATTTGCCACAAAAGTAAACGAAACCATTGGATGTCAGGAAATACGTGCCATAAATACTACAAGTGATTGTTTTTACACCAGTTATGGTTGTTATCAATCGGGGATCAAATACATTATCATCACTTATATTGTGTCCCAAATGATGGCCACTATTGTCACCCCAACTGAACACCAGTCCATCGGTTGTGATGGCAAATGAGGAGCGATAATAGCAATAAACAGTTTGTATATTATAAATATTAAAATTGAGCTCGTGTTTAGTCAACGGAAACCTCCATGTTAATGTATAACCGCAACCGATTTGGCCGTATCTATTGGGCCCCCAGGCGTACACCCGGCCTTTGCTGGTGAGGGCCAACACGTGGTTATAACCGCATGTAATTTGCGCAACAGTTGTATCGTTAAGGTATGATATAATTCCCGGTTTGGGTAAATCAATCTTCAGGTTAAATGGTGTGTCGATTCTGAATGACCCGAAAACGGGACCCAATTGTCCCCAATAGTTATTCCCGAACCCGTGGACCACATTCAGGTCATTCACTGCTAACACAAAATCACATCCATTGACAAAGTATTGTATGTTTTGTTGGCATAATTGTGGTATCAGTTCGGGTGATAGGATGGGGTTGTTGTGTCTTAAACCCAGACATCCGTTGCTATTATCACCGAAAACATAGACCATATCATCGCTGGTTTTGAATAATACGTTAACACAGTTATCGAGATCACGAAAAACATGTAGTTTTGTGATTATGTTTCCCATATTTGTGGGAATTATATCACAATTTTTAAACTTTTCTAATAAGTCACACATTTTATACACAAATAGTGTTATTAAATTACAATTAAATTATATTTAAAACACTACTATATTTTTTAAATTGTATAAACATTTATAATGGTATAATAATAAATAGTCGTATAAATAGATTTTTATTGCTAATACAGCCTTGGATACAAACTTTTACTATCGCTTGTTAATCAAGTGAAAGCATTTTACCTGTTAAACCATTTACTATGACACAATATTGAACAACTAGTTCATTTCAAGGTTGTTTAGTATAGGTATTTAAAAAATATAATATAAGTATACTAAATATTATATATGAGTATACTAAATTTATTAAATAATATTATCATGTACGTTATACAAGCATTTTATTTAAAAATTTTAAATAATAATATAACTAAACTTATTGTTTATAATAATAACACGATAAAACAAACAAATATTAAAATTATATGAATATTGATGCAATTAAATATGGAATAAAAAAATTGTATCATGTGTTTTGTTGTTAATTAAATGATTTATAAATTTATCCTAATTAAAACTGATAAAATTAAAATAATATGCAATAAAAAACAAATATGATTATAATTTATTTTCAAGTAATTAATTGCTCTTATAATTATGGTAAAAGTGCTGATGCTAAATAGGAGGTTGATAAGATAGCAATAAATGCTGAATTGTCACAATCAATTATATTATTTTATTCATTAATAACTTATAGAAAAATGGATTATTATTTGATTCCAGTGTTTTCACCACTTCATTGAATTGCCGATTAGCGGCGATTACATGTTTGCCGACAGACCAGTTGTTATAGTCTTGCAGTACGTCAATACAGTTTGGTCGCTCATTGGCTGCAAAATTGACCATTGATTGAATATTATTTTTGTATAATCTATTAAATTTAACCGAAAATGTTGTAAGTCGATATTTCTTGGTTGGGCCATCTCTTTAAATAACAATAATTTTAAAATATTATTTAAAATAGTAATTTGAAACAATTATCTGAGAAATAGCTTACATATCGAACAAATCAAAAATATGTTGTGCAATCACTCCCATACTATAAATGTCTGCTTTGGTATTATACCGGCGTTTGTGTACTTCGGGCGCAATGTATTGAAAGGTGCCGGTATCTGGTGAGTGACTCTGGGAAACCGGATTTCCCGATGAAGTTACGCTCGATGTGGGCATGTGTTCAGTTGCCAAACCAAAGTCGCAAAGTTTTATGAAACGATTAAATTTAATGTTGTGTTTAATTAATATGTTGTCGGGTTTGAGGTCCCGATGAATGACTTGCGGACACGACGTGTGCAAATAGTGGACACATTCTAAAATTTCTTTGAATATTTCGCATGAAATGAAATATTCAAATACTTTCATCGCTTCGTCCGGTTGTCGGCCAAAGACAATGTGTTTGTCTTTGAGAACAGATTTAAGACTTTGAGAGCAGTACTCCATTTGAATGTACAGATAATTGCACTCAAGCCATGAGTAGTAACATTTGACCACATACTGCGAGTTCAGTTTTACCAAGTTTTTTACCTCTTCAATTCGTCGCAATTTCTGTTGGTCGCTAATATCTGTGAAAATATTTAATTAATTACTACTTTTTTTTAATAATAAATATAAATTTTAAAAAATAATAAGTTTTAAAAATACCTTTAAAGTCAAATTCCATTCTTTTAATAGCATATATCTTATCATCCAATCTATCCTTTACTTTAAATACAGTCCCAAAACCACCCGAACCTATGGCTGACATCTCAACAAATTGTTTTTTGTATTTACCATTATACTTTTCATTGATTTTGCTAGTATAATCACATTCATTGTCAGTCATATCAGTTGAGTTATCATTGAATAATTTTTGTGAATTTTTGGTTGTTAATTGTTCCAAATCAATTGTATTGTAACTAATTTGATATTCGTTTGAATAAACATTGACAAAACCATCATAATTTGTTTCAATCAATTCCTGGTGTTTTGATAATTTATAAATTTTATCGTTCATTTTCAAACATATAAAATCTTTATAAATATATGAATTATATTGTGGTAATTCTTGAAAACAATAACCAGGTAATACTTGTTTCGGTAGTTTTTCACTTAATCCGCAAAAATACAAACCATTATTTGTTAAAAAATACGTGCCATAAATACTACCAGTGATTGCTTTCACACCAGTTATGGTTGTTATCAATCGGGGATCAAATACTTTATCATTGGTTATATTGTGTCCCAAATGATGGCCACTATTGTCACCCCAACTGAACACCTGTCCATCGGTTGTGATGGCAAATGAGGAGCAATAATAACAATAAACCAATTGAATTTTTTGTAAAAATTGTATGTGGTAGTTTTTCCTGATAAAATCAAATATACTACTTTGACCAATCTGTCCAAAATCATGGTTACCCCAGGCGTACACATTGCCATCACTGGTTAGTGCTAATACATGTGATCTACCACAACTCAAATGTACAATATATTTATTATCAAAACCTAACATTATTTCTGGTTTTGAAAATTTGTGAATTTTAGATACTAATGCTTTTGTAATGCCGCGACACAATTGCCCATCATCATTATTACCAAAACCATACATAATATTTGTATCGCTTACCGCTAATACAAAAGATAATCCATTAACAAAGTATTGTATGTTTTGTTGGCATAATTGCGGTATTATTTCCGGTGAGAGTACACGAGTGTTGTGCCCAAAACCAAGACATCCATTGCTATTATTGCCATATCCATAGACGATATCATCAGCTGTGATAAATAATACGTTTGTTCGCTCACTATTATCATTAAAAACATATAATTTGGCAATTCTTTCACTAATATTTGCGGGGATTTCGTTGTGATTTACAAATTTATTTAAAAATTCACACATTTTTACAAAATATAGTTACTAATTAGAAATATTCAAATTGATTTTAGTGTATATTATAATTATATCAAAAAATATTCCTCACAGTTATATTATATGTAATTACAGTTTGATGGCAATTATAATAATGAGAAAAAACTATGGGAACAGATTTATTATATAATATTTCATATCCTTAATTAACAAAATCATGAATAATATGAAATACGGCTTATCAGTTTTTACCGTCCAAAAGGGGCTTATGTTTAACGATAGGTTCACACATAACAATTGCATTGAAATCAAAAAGAATTGACTAAAATTGCAATTATTTCTATCGTTAATAATACTTAAATACAACTTTCTTTTGATAAAAAATATAAGTGAAAACACTTATTGTTATATAGATTTCAATAAGACTTTAAAGCAACATATTCTATCAAGTAATATTCAGTAATAATATTGTATTTATTAATAACGTGAAATATAAGCACTTTTACACTTTTTCTTATATTTATCTGTTATCAACATAACTTATAACCAAATAATAAGATTGTCAATTAAAATATTAATAAAGTACTATTACTATTAAAGTATGCTTAAAAATATAAATGCTATCAATATACTTAAATGTTACATATTTATTTTGTTATTAGCATCCATTAATAAAAATATTTAAAATACATTATTAATTAGAGTAATTCCTGTTTTTGAATAATTTGCAATTAATTTAGAAATTATATATTCTAAATTACAGTAATGTTACAATTGTTATTATAAACAATGACAATCAAGGCAAACTATGACGAGTTGGCAAGCCTACTCTTGCCATTCCGGGAGCTTATGGTAACACTAAATCATTAGATTAAAATACATTACATTGAAATACACGATCAAAATCTACGAGTTGGTACATATGATATTTTATGGATTGGTTGGTGAATATCACCAAACCATTATAAGTTTGTTTGGCATTACAGTATATTATTTCGGATTATTACTTGTATGGTTTATATTATTAATATGTATTAAATTATGTATAATTATGTAATTATATATAATATTAATAAATGAAATACAATTGTTGTTGTTTTATATTTGTTTCTATGGAGTCAACACATATAAAACTATTACTATAGTTTAATCAAAATAATAATAAATATTAAATTGATTAAGTTTAATAATAAATTCTAATTAAATTAATAATTACTTAATTATTGGAATAAATATACGTATATTTTATTTATATTTATACAATGGGTGTAATATGAATAATTTGAAATGCAATAACACATGTGACATGTCTTATATAATCAATAATAAGAATTTAGACAATATATTGTTCCCAAAATATAATTTTAAAAATATATTTATTCTAATTTAACACCGGGTTACTTTTTAACAACAATGTTGACCATTACAGTATTTAAAGAAATGTTGTTGAAAACATTACTATTGTCTGGATTTCTATACCAAACGTATGAAATCAGTTTAATATACTTATCATACGAAACCACAACTGATGTCAACTTTAACTATGACTTCAGTTTACCGGCCCTTACGATATGTATGGAAAGCAAGCACCTAATAAAATCTGAAATTAAATCAAAATACTACAACAAGCATGGTGATTTTGACTCAATGATATTTGCCAACCAATCCATAAAAGACCAAATGAACCAGCTCGTAGACTTTGATCATATATTTAAATGCGATGTCTGCAATCAAAACCAGTGGCATAATTGCAGTTCAATAGCGCCATATCGCCGGTTCATGTCTTATAACAGTTATAAATTATGTGTAACCCTATTGTCTCAATGGGCGGGTGAGTCGGACGCGCGCTATGCGGTCAAAGAAAGTGATGGCATTATAAACACTGCGACCTTTATATTGCAAATTGCCAACAAATCACTGACCGATTACCTAAGAGTTCACGTGCACTCACGCCACGAACGGCAACGCGTAAATCGTCGCCCTGGTGATTTGATGATCGACACAAGTAGTAAAAATTTAATACACATCACTTACCGGCAATTTTATGTCAAATTAAATTACATGCTAAACAGTGGTAAATGTTTGGCGAGCGAAACACTTCACGAGTGCGAAATGCGATGCGTGATACAAACATTTGCCCGGCAACATGGTCAATTCCCATTTGGCGTCTCAAAATATGACGATGATGAGTTTGAAGGTGGCAACGTTACCAATTGGAGAACTAATTATAAACTATAAGGGTGTCCAATAAAAGTTGGCCGTCGGAATTTGGCAATTACTCGGGAACCGCTGAGGTGACACTAGTGTTGCTTCACACATATATAGAGCCATACCGGGAAAATTTTATAGCATAAATATTTTTTCAGTCACGTGATTATAGTTTCTGAAAAATGGGTAATTTTCGGAACCCATACATATTTGCTATTGTGGTAATAAAAGGGAGGGGTGGGGGTTAGGGGTGGATAAAGGAGGTGTCATAGTGTTGCACAAACTTAGAACCATCATGATAGCATTGCAGGTTTTTATGCAATAAATGAGTAAAAATGACCTATTTTTGCATGTTAACCTATGGGAGGGTGAAATAAAATTAGATTCAAATACAATGAATTATATTCTTAGATACTACTATAAATGCTGATTATGTTAGTACAAAAAAGTTTTGAAAAATATTAATCTAAACACAAAATATCGTTAATTGAAATATTGAGTTTTTTACGTTTTTACAGCAAAATATGGCTAAAACTCAATATTTTAATTAACGATATTTTGTGTTTAGATTAATATTTTTCAAAACTTTGTGAAGCAACACTAGTGTCACCTCAGCGGTTCCCGAGTAATCGCCAAATTCCGACGGCCAAATTTTATTGGACACCCTTATATTTAAAAATATTAACTTTATTTGCGAACGTCAATGCAATGATAAAATAGAATGTATACAAGACTATTATATCGGTTAATACAAAACTGGCAAAACTTCAAAAAGTGGTAAAATTATTATTTCGTTGAGTTTACCCAACGAACCCAATATAATATACGAGATATCATTGAAAATGTCATTTGAAGAGTACGTGGTATTCATGGGATCACTACTTGGCCTATGGTTTGGTCTATCGGTCCTTATGTTCACTAATCTATTCATACAATTGTGTATTAAATACAATACATTTATCTTCAAAAAACGAGTCATTGATAACACACCTATTATTACACCAAACGTAACACTTTTTAACATAACAAATAATGTGCATTCAATTCGTAGTACAGTCAGACCTCTGTCTTGTCAATCATCTATGCTGTCAACTCCTCTATGTTATCAACCATTACCCAAAACCAAAACCCACACTGCATAGACATAATGTTAAAATAGCCTCTATGTTGTCAACCTTCTCTCCCTCTATGTTGTCAACTCCTCTATCATATC